TAGAAAATAGAGCAAAACATTCACCATATATGAACAGAGGATTCCTGCTCCCATGTTCCAACCATTTTCCAGAGCCTTCCGGTCAAAAACAGCCCGTATGCTTCGACCCGAGGAGAATCACTATGGATATACGCTACTAAGCCGAATGATATCAGATTGATTTAATCTTCTTTCCAAATCTCTTGTCCTAAGTTTTATTTTCTAAAATAAGTCACCAGTACATCTGTTTCCTAGAGAAATAAACTATCGAGACATTTTGCAGCTAGTCGAGCTAATGAATGACTTCGAATGAGTTTTTCTTTCCTGCCTGTTTGTCTAGAACTTGAACGAAATGAATGAAGTTTCATCGATCATAATAGCAATTCACGATATGATATTTAGTACAGTATGATTTAATCATATCATTATTGATGTACTCAGACTGCAAAAAGTTCAGTTTTTCTATACATTAAATACGAGAGATTTCTCTTTAGCCTTTCAGACGTATGTTTGCATTTAGTAGTGTTAGATGTAATCATCTGCTATTATTAAATATCTATGTATTGAATAATTTAATAGAAATTTCATTATTTAGAAATAAAGAATCAATTCGTTACACAATAGATATTCATCGTATTTCTATTTTTTATTATATTGATTATTCGATTGGAATAGATTTGAATTAATATCAAATATATATATATCAACTTCATTGAATGTATTAGAAAGAATATTCAATAGAACACCAAAAGCATTTATTTCATTTCCCTCGATTGTGTCATAGTTTGTCTATCCAAGCTAAATTTTGAAAAAAGACGAAGACCAGAAGGAATACAGACACGTGGTTGTGTAAGGAGAAGAATAGAAAATAATGCATGTTTTGGTATGAAATCATTTCATATCAATCAAAAGTTGGTGATCCATATCTATTTTTACTACTATCGATTAGCTATACCTGTTCTAATATACTTTATCATTGTATATCGAAATGTCTTTATTTCCGTATTTCTATACATCTTTTAACGATTTCTCAGCCAGAAATGGACACGTTCGACGAGCTATCGTATGTATAAAAATGATTCTTTTTTCTAGCGGACATTATCGGACAGTAATGAGGAAAATAATTGTTTGAATGAATACAAAAAAAGCCAGACACAATTGAGACTATATTTATCTATATATATATATACAAATAATAAGAGCGAGATGAAATATCATTCGTGAAAATTTAACGAAAGTGTTAGATGGCTATTGAACCATTCATAGAAAAAGTACGGAGTGCATAGTTTAGAAGGAACTTTTAGGCAGCTCATTTCGACTCTTTTACTATCAGATTATTCATTATTTTTCATATTCATTGTATAAAAACTTGAGAGATGCTGATTTTATGTTTTTAGCTATTGAACATTAAAGATCAACAAACCGAAGCAAATAAAGAACTGCAACAAGCTCTATTAGAACTTGGCAAATGTTCCTTGATTGCTGAATCACAAAAATGGAATAATTTACTCGACAATGTTCAAAAACTACCCATGTTGTGAATACCGGATCAATTTAGCGGTAAACCGCGGTTTACCGCATTAGCCTTTGTATGGGAGCCGGTAACTTGATCGGTAAAACCGCGGTAAACCGCCGGTATAGTTTTTGAAAATTTCTATCATATCGACCAGTTTAAAAAAGATGCTTAAAATGGTCCAATCGATGATCTGGAGCAATGAATTTTGAAAGATCATCGGTGATCCGGTTAACTGAATTATATTAGTGGTAAACCGCGGTATTCGTTAAAACCGCCGGTTTACCGCGGTAAACTCTATGTAATGGGAGCCGGTAACCGGACCGGTAAAATCGTGGTAAACCGCCGGTTTTGGCCCGGTTTTTAAGACATGGGTAGCAATCAAACTGTCTGACATTACGAAAGAGTTGAAAACATTGGAAGGTAAATTGATCTTATCATCCATGAATCATTTAATTTGTTTATTTATAGATATTCACGTCAACACACACCATGGTGTATTACCTTATTAGATTTTTTTCAATGATGAACAAGATCTCTTATGTTTATGCTGATATTCCTCTTGTTATTCTATGATTTTTTTTCAAGTACACGCAAGATCTCTTTTGTTGCTATCGATAGTGGCATGTTTCTTGTTGTTCGATGATTTTTTTTCTCAACAAGATCTCTTTTGATGGTATCGATAGGAAAATGTTTGTTGTTGTTCTATGATTCATTTTCAATACCTACAAAATCTCTTTTTATGTTGATATTTTTCTTGTTGTCCTATGATTTTTTCAATTATACACGAGGTCTTTTGTGTTCTTATGAGTATTAATTTTTTTTTTGCTCTTCTATGATAAAATAAGAAGATAACACTATTTCTGTGCATTAATCCTTTATTTGATTCTGATTGTTAAATTTTTATATTGTCTCAAGCTGTAAATTATTATTTGAAAATGATATTCAAAGAACAATTGATTCATTTAAAACCGATCAGTTTTTTATTTATCGTTATTGGATAAATATTCAATGTTATTTCGATCCAATTATGTCATATCAGCATATATCATCAACAATACTAAAGCCATCGACACATTAGAAGACCCGGGGTCTTCTATTCTGTCTTATCGTTCATAAGTTAAAAGGGGGGTCTTCTATTATGTCCCTAAAAAAAGTCATATTTTTAGGCAGTTTCGCCAAGAAACCTTGCTTTCACTTAATTGTTGTCCCATATATCGTTCACAAATGAGTTTGTTTTACTCATTCCACTTGTCAAGGGAGAAAAAGCGCGACTCCACCGATATTCCAATGGTACTCCATACGTACTTACTGGTACTCCACGGTACTCCACTGATATTTCACTGAAACTCTAAATTTTTTTTTGTGTGTACTCCGCTGGTACTCCAACTATTTTTTGNAAAAAAATTAAAAGACATAATATGATAACGCAATAAAGTTATTTTTGTACATGATACTTAAAATTGATTAGCATTGTTACTGAATATTGGTCTGAATTTTGAAAGATATATTGCGTTACTAGGAAATTACCCGAAATATAAAATACTCTTTTACTCTTGAAACAATGAAAAGAGATACCTGTATTAGTCATTGGATTGCTTTTCGATCGGATATTAATTATAGACTGTTGACGTCACATAAACAGCAACTAGGAAAAAACCTACCTTTGCATGGTTGATCAGTATTTCGTATCGAAATAATTCTACTTGTAGATTAGTTTTGTTTTTGTTATTTCTTTCTTGATGAAGAGTCGTGCTTGTTTTTTGTTTTACTGCATTTATTACATCGTATTATTCCTTTTATGTGGCATCTATATTCATTGATAATCGCTAGACATTTTCACAAGAATACTGTATCTTCTTTTGAATAGTTGAAAGTGAAATTCACAAGAAATGAAGAGCCATCTTACCATCTCTATGCTTTGGAAACGTCGATAATATATGCAAAAATTGAGATTTGATCTTTAAAAAACACGTGCTTGAATGGAAACTATAAATTGAACCATGCTAACAAGTATAAACAAGATTATCATCTAGTCGATTGAAGAATATGCATAAAATAATTAATATTAAACCGAAAAGAATAGCTGATGATGAAAATTTTAGTTCCTATTGAATGTATTACCAAAGAATTTCAAAGGAAGAAATAATGACTACTCAACTGTATTTATGAAATGTCTCGAACAACTTATTTATGCATCCTTATCTAAACATTCTCGTCTTTTGATATCATTTAGTTATTTTGGCACGTTATGCATATTCTTTTCGAGTTGGTTCAGATATATAGTCATAGAAGTAGCATTTTGGAACTATTAATAGACGTAATTAGTTCGAATTTCATAATTGATTTTTATTGTTGCATACTCATTGAGAATACTATTCTAATTATTTCGTGAAAGTCGTAAAGGCTACTTCAAAGTCATATTTTGTGAGATGAACGTAGACATGTTTTCTAGTAATGTTCAGCGAAGGTGCCGAACATATGTGAGAGCGGGTGGCTGGGTGCTGTCATTGTTTTAATCGGCTGGCATTGATCCGAAGTCAAAGTACACCTACCGGATACTTACCTTCATGTGAATGTTTAAAAATCTACTTTCTCCCAAAATAAACTGTTTCATGAGTACAAGATTCAGATGACAACAAATCTTGACAAAAAAAATGCGTATCAACTAATCAATCATGTAGATTGTGAAGGGTGTGAGTGTGAGAGCAAGTTAAGAGCGATCGAAATCCACATTTACATTCGTATATTTTTCCACTGTGCAAGAACCATATTCATAACTCTTTCGAGACGTTTTTTTTTCTATCAAAAATTGGTTCTTTTTATCAGTTTATTGAATCTGACTCAAAATGTTTTCATAAAAACTTATGATATTCAAAGAAACAATTTTTCCCGTCTGTTACGCAAAAGACCAATTTACAAGTAGAGCATTTGATGCTTGATCGAACTTGCACTTCTTTTGTGCTACCGTAAGCACATCTCAGGTGTGAGTGTGTATTATTCACATAGACACACCTCTACCTACCCCACACCCACACCATCAAGAAAAGATACGTATAAAATGGCAGTTGGAGCACTCCATGATCTCTATGCATAAGAAGTTTTAATAGTTAGATGTAAATGAAATATTTTTCCTGCCGGAAAACTAGGCGGTACAATCCTTATACCACCGTCCTGCAAGAGTTAACTGAAGCTCAATAATCTAACAAATCGGTGGATTTTTACCGGTCGAAAAAGTATTTTGAACCAGTTGGACCGGATTGATTTGAAAATTGTGAAGCAGTTAGAACTCTGGTTAATAATATTTCTCTTGTAATCAATATCACTGTTAATTGTAGATTCATTTTGATATGCTAGACTTTAAAAAAAAAAAGATCATATTACAGATGGATATGAATTCATTTTCTTTGAAAAAAAAAACGAAGTATAACAAAAATAAATGAAAATGAATAATTTAAAAAAACTAGTTATCTTTAAGACACATCTATGTTATAGGAAAACTAAAAAATTATATCCAAAGACGAAATCTTGTTAGTTGAACGTCAATTCGACTATTTGGAAAACGAGTTTGAGCCATTAAACGATAAGGTTCTACTTTTTCACGAGGAATTATGCCACAAATATCAACAAAGATAAATTCTTTCAATTGATCAAATAATTGAGAAAGGTCTTGTTCAAAAACCGTTACATGATCATCTAAATAAGAATAATATTAGAAAATTCGTCTTTTTTTTCTGTAGATATATTTGAATAATATACTAATAGATTCAACTGTTGATAAAGATCGCTTCCATCGTGTTATAAAAGGTCCATAATACCGTCCATATTTATGGTTTGGTCGAACTTAAAGAAATAATAAAAAGTAGACTAAGTATTCGAGATAATTATGAGAAATTCAAAAATTTTCTCTTTTTCTTTCATTAAATAAAAATGACTGGTTAGAAAAGATTCTGCTTACCTTTATTATAAGATTGTCGAAAATGTATTTTTAACATATTTTCTTAAATGAAATAGAACTCCTCGACTATATTTTCATATTTTTTCATCTAACATATCAATTATTTTTCTAATGACTTAAAACTTAAAGATCGACAAGTTCAGTTCTAGATCGGATCTAAAGAACTGTTGAGAACGATCTTTGATAAGAATTGATCGACTTAATTCAATTATGATCTAGAATTTCTTGCAACTTACAACATACTGATATCTTCAAATCCTTATGGCTACGATGGAGAAGCTATCTAGAATTTCTCACCATTTATATAGAGAACATGCTCAGAAGCCCTTAGGGCTTCTAATGGATATCGAGTAGCCCGAGGTAGTTTCAGAGGAGTCCCGGGGATTCTGCTCCCATACTTAGGGTATACCGAAGAGTTTCAGATATCAGCATATTTTTGATTGCGAGAGATTATTGATCGTTAGTCAATTCTGTTGATCATTTGTTAGAACTATACTGTTTCAAGAGTTTTTTTGCTCGTTTGAGCTAAAATCATGAGCTAGAGCTGATTGATCCCTAATTGAAATAACTGAAGAATGACATAGTTTTCTAAGCCATTATATTTTACTTTTGATGCATTAATTCTATACCATTGTGGAAGTGACTTATTTTGTTCAATAAAAATGATGGATAGGTGTGTGTCTAGCTGAGAATAAATGAGACTGAAGGTGAGCGTGGTGCTTACGTTTGTCTTCCTTCCACATACCATAGCCAATCTTGAAATCTTTCTTTTGACTTCCTCGTACCTTCTTTTACAAAGCAACTGAAAATGACTGAACTCAGGGTCAAGTCTCCGAACATGCAGGTTCAGCGTATGCCTAGATTTATCTTTATTGGAGGCACATATTTTATATATAATTATGATAAATATGAGAAGAATAAGTGACTTTTTCTATTTAACTTCACTATCAGCTGCACCAATAAGATTTTTTTCATCAGATACTTCTTAACTCAAAATACGTAGGTAAAGTCTAATTGAAAGGAAAAAAGTTTATTTTAATAAATCGAAAAACATCTTATCATATTTTCAATTCTATATTATCATAGAAAAAAATCTTAGTTAACTAATCGGATTCGAATAAATCATATTGTGACATTAGATCAAATAAATTCTTTTTCATTAATATTTTTCAGTGAATATGTTTCATTTAATAGGAAACTTACGAGATGTCCAAGGAAAATCATCTGGTCTCCATAGTTGTAATGTGTGTAAATGTGGCATATAAGTACTGAGAATAGATACAAGATTTTTACCAATATGAATCGATTCATTTCTACCAATATTACAACTTGGAATACCAAATTCAGCATATTGAATAGTAGTTAATGCGTTTTTTCGTAATTCATCAGCGGCCTAAAAATTAATGTATTCTTTTTATATTCATTCGTTTTTTAAATAAACATCTACATAATAAAAAACTGAAATAAATCAACATAGAATTTAACGAAACCAAATTTAAATTCTCTTATCAATACGTCTGATATATTTCAAAAAATAACTTGAAATAAAATGAATACTTACATAATGAATAACATATAATAACCATTCAAATTTTTTAACAAAAAGATGTTTGAGTTGAACAGGCATTGAAAGAAGATGAGCAAATATTTTCGCACGTACTTTATCTCGATCTGTTAACGTACTACAAGAAGCTAGGAAAAAAAATCTCGTTTAGATATTATTTATGTTAAAAACAATATCATTTCAAATAATACAAACAAGGATTAAGAATTTTATAAGGAAAAAAGAAGATTCAAGTTTATTTATATTTCATTCATACTTAGAATTGCTCACTCTTCTATAGATCGTCATTAGGATACTTTAACAATTTCATATATTTTCTATCCTAAAACGATTATTATATCAAGTCAATAGGCGATGTCATCGTGAGAAAATCCAATTACGTTTTACAACAAGAAAATTGTCTTCGTCATTCGATTGTGTTGGTTGATCGGGATCCAAAAATTTTCTGTTGATCGGATCTGAATTCGAGAATTTTAGATCTCGTAGACTTCAGTTAGAAGTAAAATCTTGACTATTATGAGATCATCGTCAAGATTGCATTAGAGACATGTCGAGTGTGCTAATCAGTGACATAAATAAGCGAAAAAGAAAGAAATTCCTATTTGCGAAACTAGTATCAAATTCAAATATTAAAACAATTTCCTTGAAACTATTAAGAGTAAGGTTAAGATCTGATTATGGATCCAATTTCGAAAAATTTTAATTAAGTCGATCTGAAACGAGATCCAAATTTTCTGGGTCCCACAGGATCTATTCGTCACGCTCTTGAAGTATCTCTTTCAATTTGTGAGATGAAAATAAAATTTAAGATGTCTGTCTTTGCATATTTCCTATAATATCTTACAATTAATAACTACTACAATCAGAAACATTGTAAATCTTCAGTAATTAACAAAGGTCAATACCTGTTGCTAAATTGGCTTGTTTATAATGTAAAATGTTGAATTATTTTTTAGATTTTAATGTTACAATGGATTTTATTAACAACTATTTAACATTAGTAATATACTTAAACTATTTATTTAGCCATTGTCTAAATAATATCTGAATTAACCGATAATAAAAATAAAAATATATAAGAGAAAGTATTTCGAGATTTGATTTAATCATTGAAATGATTCGGATGAAATCATTATAGTTTTAAAAAGATATTAACTTATATTTTAGTAAGGAAATCATTGATGTATATTATAACATGAATTAATTATCTTTTTAATTTTCATTTCTGACATGTTTAGATTATAAAGTTAGAATGATTGAAAAATATACAATCCAGTCAACTGGAACGATCATAAGCTGGAAGAAAAGATTTGTATTATAATTTATCAATTTTTGTCAAAGACAATTTATACATACGAATCCTACGACCACAACAATTTCCAAATTTGAGTGTTGTGACATTTCGAAGCTGAATAGAATTTAGATTTTTCTCACCAACTTTGAATAGTGTTGTCATCGTGTCTAATTCGTTGATATAATGTTCTAGAAAAAGAATCTTATTGAGTTTTAATTAATATCATTGAACTTTTTTCTATTATATTTTATAAAAAATTCAATAAGAATTGAATTAGAAAAAATTCTATTCAATCGTTATGTAAAGCCATCGACACATTAGAAGACCCGGGGTCTTCTATTCTGTCTTATCGTTCATAAGTTAAAAGGGGGAGGGGGTCTTCTATTATGTCCCTAAAATAGTCATATTTTTGGAAATCCCACCAACAAACGTTAGTTTCACTTGATTTTTGTCTAAGATATTGTTAGTAAATGAGTTTGCTTCACTTATTTCACATATGTAGAATAAGAAAGAAACAGATATTATCCTGTGAAAAAAGGGAGACCATCGTTGGTAAGAAATGTTCCTAGAACAATACAGTCAACGTAGCCTAGCATCTTGGTACGATATCCCATAGTGTTCTTTTTTCTCTAGGCTAAGACCTATCACTGGCAACATTTTACCTTCTCAATAACTAAATAAATGTAAAAACGAAAATTAATTTTTTTTATCAAACTCATTTTATTCAGTTACTTATGTGGAGATTTGATTAGTATAGATGAAATCCATTCATAGTGGATTCTGCTACTATCAGAGTTATTAATCTCAAGCTAACTTCAATGAATACAATTGTCTTGTGAAAAAACCATCTATAGAAAATCAGCAGTTGAATACACACACTGTGTTTTCTTTTGTGTGTTTCAAAAATGCCATTGGATCTTATTGAAAAAAAGAAATGCGTTCTCAAACTCAAAAGAAGTACTCACATATCAAATCTCGACATCTATACAGTCTACGCAAAAAATTCTGGGACACTCTAGAATGGCTCTCCAAAATTTTATATTTCATTTAAAATAAACTTCACATATATTTTTTAAGTATAGTTACTGGGTAAGCTTTCGTACTTTACTCCACAGACGCAAAACTTCTAGTTTTAACATTATATGAAACTTTAATCAGTAACTATACTTAAAATATATATGTGAAGTTTATTTTAAATGAAATATAAAATTTTGGAGAGCCATTCTAGAGTGTCCCAGAAATTTTGCGTAGACCGTACATGAAGTTAAGTTTTCTTCAATTATGAAAGGCTATTTTGTGATGAAAACGTTTCTGATTTTCTAGAAGAAAGTCAAAGATGAAAAGACCTTTTAATTAATACAAAGCGGCATTTTACCTAATCTGTTACTATTGTACAAAGATCCCTTCATGTGCTACATGCACGAACGGGCACTGCGTTCACCAGATCCTATGACTATGGAAGCGTGTGTTTTGTATATAGAGCCTGAAGAATGTTTTCAAAGTATGCTGCAAAGGAGTATTAAAATGACTCCATGATATGTTGTTACAAAGAAACGCAATCTTTAACAGACAGCTGTTTCCTATTAGCTGCTTCTCAGGATTTTACTCACTCAAGTCTGATATTTCGTTATGAGGGAAGAAGCAAGATATTGTTCGTACTGAATTTCGATATCATTCTGGGCTTAAATACTAAACAAGTCAATAAACTCCAGAAACTGTTTCAAAATATCGATTTTTTAAGGGGAGGTCTTCTAATATGTCTTTTGCGTCATTTATTCTAGAGGGGTCTTCTAATGTGTCGATGGCTTTAGTTTTATTCTTCAACGTCTATACTTCGCTCTAATATTCATTAAACTTCATCACTTGTTTGACTTTTTCTTGACCAAAACTAATTGAGAAAAATAATAACCTGTATGAATTGCGATAGAAGAAACATTAGGACATTGTTTATCCAATTGATCGAGAAATAAATAAAGAGATGGATCAAAAACAAACCAAATACGTCGAGTATTTGACCAGTCATACCTATATGGTTGAGTACTTAATAACAACAGAAGAAAATAATTAGATGAAAAAACTTTCCTAAATTAAATGTCTTACAATAAACTATCAGAGAGTTGTGCTTTATTGAAATTAGAAGAAAAAATACGTTGATATGACTCATTTTTATCATATAAGCATTTAATATTTGTCCATTGATGTAATATAAAAAAAGGATGATTTTTAAAAGAATTAATTGTGTTTTCAATATCATCTAATGATAATTGATATGTTCTACCAATATAAAAATGAAAGGATTTTAAATTAATTATTTCATCAGGTAAACAATATTGACGAATAAAATTTCCATCAATAAAATATTTCCATATTAATTGATCTGGTCTCCATATTGTTGGACTTCTTAAATAAATTTTAAGCTTTCTAATATGATTAAGATTATTAAGAAGCCATTTTAAATAAACAAATTCAAAATCATTGTCAATAGAACTCTTCAATATAAAACATTTTAATTTTGGTACCTATTTTTTACAAACAATTAATTGTCATTTCATTAACAATCAACAAAATAAAAATGTCTTATTTATTCTATTTAGTTTAAACTAAATTAAGTTTATTTCTTCGTTTTATTGTTTGATCATCACAGTCTTCGGTATTCTTCTCATATTTTACTTTTTCTTAATCAGTAAATAACTGGGAAGAAAAGCGAATCCTATTCGAATTAGCAAGATCCGAGGAACTAGGATTCATTTTTATTTAGCTCAATGAAGTATGCTATTAAAGAATGATCTCTATTATCTTTTTATCGTAAATTCATGAAAAGTGAAAACATCTATTTAAACAACTATTTCTTTCGTGCTTATACTGTTTATCGATTGTCTTTCCATATGAGTTAATTACGATGACTCAGAAGTATCAATGCTTTCTATAAAACTAGAAGTGTCGGCATAGCATTAGTATTATCATTAGCATTAATTAATACTAATTTTAATAGATTTCAATTGACTGGAGTATTAGACTAGTATTAATTAGTATCAATGTTATTGCTAAAGCGACATCCCTCTATAAAATCATTTTCAATATTAACGAAATGGTTGTCTCTATTAGCATAAAGAATGAGCCGTTTTGTATTTTTGTGAATACTTTTCTCAATTGTGGACACTTTGACTTGAACATTTCCTAGAAGCTAGTCCGTAAAATTCTCTTTAAAATTCAATGAAAAAGAACTCTTAAAATGGATAACTAAAATTCACATCTGGTGAACAGTACTACACTAAAAAAAAAGATCTACTTCTAAATTCATTGTTTTATAAAATGAATTATTTTCTTTCCTGATGACTAATCGTAATTCAGGCTATTCTACAACAAGCATCCGATATTTTCAGGAGAACTCTTTTTGACAAAGCAAAAAAGAATTCTACCAATAAGTTTGTCAAGTTTCAACTGTCAATCTTCTTGAAGAACAACTTCAAGACATTTCTTGTCAGAAAAGAACCTTTCCAACTATTTACTCTGGTATCAAACCTAGAAAGATATTCTTCTTCAATTTAGAAATACATCTAATTCAGAATTACCTCCATACTTGTTGGAACTACATCAAAACTCTGATGAGCCTTTTTCAAAGATCCTCAAACGCGATTAAGTGAATAGAAATAAAACAGTTGCTCGAAAACGTTCCACAGTGTGCTCAAGTGATAATAAAGTAATAATTTGAAAGTTGGTCTTTTTTTTTGAGTATAGCACTGCTAGTCGAATATGATTTTTCAGTCATCTTTTTCAAGAATTCTTTTCATTGGATCTTGTAGAAAATTCTATGAGCTATTTTCTAAAAAAATATTCAAGTAAAACCTATAAAAATAAAGATCAATATTAACAAAATATTGAGGTCATCCTGTATGTGCGTCACCAGTTAAGATTACATAAACATAATTCTAGGTAGAAATGTACCGAGCCCAACCTCTCCATCTCGCTATTGACCTTGGTACTGATAAATTTCTCACTCCGTTACAGTTACTCTCGATGTTGTTCTTGAGGGTATGTGGGAGTGAGAAACATAAATTTACCTAGATTTCCTATATTCACACGTGCTGCCTCACCCATCTATCTACGCCGTCAACATCAAGCATATTTTACATTGAATGTGATCATGTCTGAGACCAAGAGTCTCAGTTTACACTCACGCTCGATACATTCCTAATCCTAAGCTAGATATATTCAATTTTAATGAACAGAATATTTTTATTGGTCTTTGATTTAAACTTATACGAATTAAGTTTAAGATAGGTTAATATGATATTCTCTATTCTTTAAATGAAACCAGTTTTTGATATAAAAGCTAATCAAATTTGGCTTCTTTTTTACGTTTTTTCCATATGTATTTTCTTGAAGATCGATGAACGAAACATTTCGTTTTTGAAAAATGGCATAAAGTAGTACAAATATTCTCTTTTACTCTATGATAGTCGACTTCATCGCTGGCTTTCAGGGCTCCATCACTTTTTGATGTTTAGGTGCAGGAAAAATTTTTGACATAAACAAACTCTTATGTAAGAGATAAGATTTGACTAAAAGATTTTTCGTGAAATGAATGATTAGAATAATATTACATTCGTCTTACTTTATTAACCCAACTTTCATTTGATAGTATCGGTCTTTCAGAGTTTGAATCATAAAATTTGTTATCACGTTGTAATTTTGGAAAAACAGTCGATAATTGTTCTAGATTGGGCACATGGTCAATAAGATGTTCCAGAAAACATGTATATTTCAGTTGAATGTACAAACGACGTAAACTTACACAATACGATTGAAATCCATCAGAATTTGTTTTTAACGGAAGATTGGAAGAATACGATTTTAAACATTCATGAATAGCATAACGTAATTTGGTCATGTCAAGATGAAGCGAAGTTAATTGGCATTGACCAGAAAATATTTGAGATAAGAGTTGTGTAAACATACCATTGATAGTTGCTGTTAAATTATAACAAAAACACAATCAGTTCATCTCACAATGGAAGATCACCAACTGGTAGTTAAGAAGATTGGCCATATTCGGATTAACTCAAAACTCTTATCATCAAACTAATAAATTTGAAATATAACGTGCCTAGAGCAAATTATTGAAATTTCAACGTATGTGAAATCTAGGTATAAAAATAAGTCAGAAAAAGTTTTCTCCAGTATTCTAAAGACAAAACAGTGTTGCTCAGGTTGATTAGGGGGTTTGGAAGAGTCCTCTTTTATATGGCTCGAATAACGCTATATTTTGTTCTTAGAATATTGGAGCAAACTTTTCCTGATTCATTTTTATGCCTAGATTTTACATACGTTGAAATTTCAATAACTTATTCTAGGCACGTTATATTTTAAGTTTATTAGTTTGACGAAAAGAGTGTTCATTTGATCCGAATATGGTCAATCTTCTTAACTACCAATTGGTGATCTTTCATTGTCAGTAAAATTTGAAAATAAATCAAGAGGGAAACGGGATAGTCTCTATTTGAAGTCAATTTAATCTAGTTTGATTTACTGACAAAGGTAGATCCACGTAGTTTTAGAATACTTTATATAGTGTCAAAGTACGCCGTATTCTTCCTGAAATAAATTTTTCTCTTTCTCTTAGAGAGAAGAGTCCAGCAAAAATAAGCTGTCTGCTTGCTTATTTGTTCATTCACACTTCACTGATTGGTTGGAAAATACAACATAAGAGAAAAATGAGTGCCGAGGGCGCGAGAAAAAAAGAACCGATTATCTCACTATCTGATCAAAGGTAATCGAAGAAGGGAAATCGGAATTTGAAGTCGTTTTTAATTAATTAATTAATTATTAATATTTTCCGCAAAACTTCACCGAAAGTAATCGAGAATATCGAATCGAAAAATAAGGTCAGTTTTATTTATTTAATTACCTCGAAGATGTAGATATGAATGTGTGAGAGATGAATAACACACCTACGAGAAAGAGTTAAGCGAGTCCACACATGAACGTTATTTGTTGCTCTAAGTTTCAAAAAAAATCAACGAATTTGTATAAAATCCCACGCGAAATTTTCAATCTTTCTTCAGTGACAAACAGGACAGGACAAATAATAGATTGTGAAAATGCCTTGTCGTGCAGCCCTCTACCTGACTGATCATACCGCACAAGTAATTGGTGATTCGTTCATCATTTTTTGAATTCCTACGTCAGATAGATTCTTATTTCCAATAGATAAAATATGATTTTATTCGTAAAGGACGTGGTCAACGTGATTTATTGATTACCTATATCAAAAATAGTTAATGAAGTGACTCGTGTATAATCAGCTCCTTCAAACATATCTTCATGAAATGTTAATGTAAGTTGATTTAAATGATATTGAATGAGTACAGATAATGTCTGAATTATTGGTTGAGTTAAAAAACATCGAGTAATATAAAGTGATTTAAGATTAGGAAAAGATATTTTCTGTTGATCATTGTTAGAAAAAATACATTGATAAATAAAATCAAAAGGAATCGATTTATTTCCATCAAAATGAATATATTTTATATTCGAAGAAATAGATGATGATGAATTAAATATTAATGGTAATAATATTGATGAAAATATTTTATAAGATAAACCTGATTTATTAAAAATAATTCCATTTTCATTATTTGAAAATATTAAATAAATAAGAGAATTAAATCGTTCATTTAACGACCATAACGATATTAATATTTCATCCCACGATAAATAACAAAATATATTTAATAATATTTCATTTGGAAGTATTTCCAATTTACTTATCATTTCTTATCCTAAAACTAAAATTAAAAAAAAATTCTTTTTTTCTTTTTAATTTAAATTTATCAGAATAGAGATGATGAATAAAATCTTAGGTAAGTTAACCATCTTTCTCTCTGTATCAAAATTCATAATTTGAGTGTCAATATATAGATATTAATACAACGAATATTTTCCAGATCTATTTCATAACATCATTATTGTTCTCAATAGTTTCTAAGAGAAAATTGATAAGTATCTACCACGGACAAAATTAACATTACACCTATTTTTGATAGATATTTTCATTAATGGTTAATCACGAAAAATATGAGTTTTTCAGAATTTTTTTTTTGCCTATAGGGCTTTGTAGAGCTCGTTTTGCCGATCATTTTGATAAAAAAAAAAAACATTCAAATTTACCTGATACATAATGGACCTTAGGTCAGAATACTCAAAAATATCACCTACTAGTCAGCAGTGGTCATGAACAGTCGGAAGTTTCGAGTATTTTGACTCTAATGCCATCATTTACTGGGTAAATTTGAAGGTTTTTTTTTTATCAAAATGATCGGCGAAGCGAGCTCTACAAAGCCCTATAGACGAAAGAAAATTCTGAAAAGCTCATATTTTTCGTGATTAACCATTAATGAAAATATCTATCAAAAATAGGTGTAGTGTTAATTTTGTCCGTGGTAGTATATTTCGTAGGCATACATTAGCAGTTGAATGAAAAGATACTGACGCATGAGAAGAGAAAACAACGTTACATCAGAAGCAGTAAACTTTTTTTCGACGGTGAAGACAACATTAAAGCGTTTTTGTTTGAAATCAATTTTCTTTAAAATGATCAACTCCTTGATATCTCACAGACAATTTACTGTGGGAGAAAATATTTCATATTGTGCTAAAAGCCCGATTTCCTCTGAGAATCTTTATAAAAAGACATATATTCTCATTCAGTTAGAAACGCTTCTGGATATTTTTATAGCCGAAAGAAACCTTGCCTGTCGATGTTGAACAACAATGAAACATTATTTAGTTTATTTTTAAAAAACTTAATTGAATTATATATACGTTCCCAAATGTTATCTTAACTTCTCACCCAAATAGCAATCTCTAATACAAACTATCTTTCAACTTTGACGCAAACCCGAAACTGTCGATCAAATTTTGCAGAAATTACTCCATCTAACAATTTTATCAGACTAAAGACGAATTGCTCAATGTCATAAAAACTACACAGAGTCTCTACAATTAGCACAATTCATAATATTGTTAGCGAAAGTCTCAGGTCATTACTTGTCTACCAAATTCGTTAAAAATTCACAAATAGTACGACAATTTGTGCAAAAACTGCTGTGTCTACCACAAAAAAAATCATAGGATCTGTCAGACTTGCCATAAACTACAGACTATCTGAAAGCTTTAGCAAAGAGATATTCAGAAAATTTTTCAAAAAATGGAAAAATGAGATATTAGCGAGTTTCTCATCGAAACCCATGAATATTATATTTAGTTTTTTCTCATATTCAACGATCTATACTAAGAGACTTGCTGACACGAATCCTTCGAATAGAATTTCAGTTTGATGACTATCTCTCTACGCTGTAAAACATATTAAAGAGAAAATCTTTTCTATCAACTGAGGATACTTAAAGAATGATGATAAAAAGGAATAATCGAAAGTGAATAAAAACGTTCTTTGGATATCTGTTTGAGACAGTGGTTTACTTTATTTTTTAAAAGAAATTCTAAAAGACAAGCAGATTCAAATGTCCATTGCTCCACGTTGTTAATATACGAAAAGCAAACAGTATGAAAAAGAACTTTTATGAGAAACTACATTATTTTATTATTGAAGAAAAATTAATAATTACAATGCATGCCAATTGATTTCCACCCCCTTCTTTTTTTTTATCGTTTTTATTACTAGGCTTCTTTTGTTTTTCAATATCCTATGAAAAGCTTCTTTTTTTTTGTTATCATTTTCATCCGTGTTTATTATTTATATGAGGACAAAAAAGTAAATGTTTTTGAAATAATTTTTAACAGAAACAAGATAGAGATCTTCTATTTTCATCATTCAAAATAAGCGATAATTCTGCATCGAATCTCTTCTTTTGCATATTCATGACAAACTTTACTAGAGTGTTGGGCTAAGTTTTTGAAAAAAGTCATGTTTTCCAGAAAACCCGACTCAACATTCTGATAAAACTTGTCATAAATATGTAAAAGAAGAGATCCGATGCAGATTCATCTCTTATTTCGAATGATGAAAATCACCGATTTCTATCTTGTTTCTGTTAAAAGTTCTTTCAAAAATACTTACTCCTCTTTTGTTCTCATATGAATAATAGATGTGAATGTGAATTCTAATTAAAAACTAACACTTTTCATACTGCAAACTATATTTGTTGTTCAAAGTAAATATATCATAAAACGCAGCACGTTTAGGGCTTTCTTCCTATATATAGGAGGTTAAAAAATATAAGCAGCCTAACGATAAAAAAGAGAAGGAGGAAAATGAACTGGCGCGTCCTGTAAATCGATGAAAATATTTCTATTATATCAAAGATATTAACTAATGTCGGATTTTTTTCAAAATAGCCTCCACCGTTTTTTGAATAACTCTCGATCGTTTATAGCTATCGAGCTCGAGTTTTCGCCATTAGAAAGAGCAAGTGATGGAACACTTTATCTATATAAAATTCATAAGATTCGAATAAGTTTTTCATGAATATTTGTGAATGAACATCTTTTTTGTTGTCCATTTTCATGAATTTTCACAGCAATCGACGCTCAAATTATATCAAATTCTAATTCAAAACGACCTTTATTCCTGGTAAAATATTTAAATCTCTCTATAGTTTATTTGAACCAATACTTCAAAGCTATAGTTTTAAAATACGAAAATTTTACCAGGAATAAAGATCGTTTTGGGTTAGAATTTGGTATAATGTGAGTATCGATTGCTGTGAAAACTCATGAAAATGGACAATCAAAAAGATGTTCGTTCACTAACATTCATGAAAAACTTATTCAAATCTTATGAATTTTATATAGATAAAGTGTTCCCTCACTTGCTCTTTTTAATGGCGAAAACTCGAGCTCAATAACTATAATCGATCGAGAGTTATTCAAAAAATGATGGAGGCTATTTTTAAAAAAATCCGACAATAGCTCATTAAAATATTACATAATATAACCTACTTATTATTTCACAACTCTTAATTGAAATGTCAATCTGAAAATAACTTCACTGTAATTATAATAAAACAACTTCACTTACAAAATTAATATTAAACTCTGTCTATAGAAAGAAAAAGATGATAATTACGTTTTTTTTGTTTAAAATTAAAAGGATGAATAAACATCAAGTGTATCATAAATTGTTCGATATTGATAATACCAGCGTATTTTAGTTGGTCTATTGTGCACGAGAAAAATGTCTCTCTCTGTTTACATTTTCCTCTTAATATGAACCAGATGGACGAGAAAGTTCATGTTTGATGAATACGACGAAATGTTCAAGAATATTTCCTGTTCTGTATCAATATCTTCTCATCTCTCTCTCTCTCTCTCTCTCTCTTATTTTTGACGTTAAAAAAGAGACGAAGAAAAAAGTAAAAGAGAATTGAGAAAGTGGAAGGAAAGAAACAAAGATCTAGAATTTTATTTGTTATTTCTTTATTATATTTCTGAGATTCTTATTGTTATCGTTCTATATATAGTCGTTACATTATTGTAAAACGGAAAAATACAGAAATAACATGTGAGGTCTAGATCTCAAAAGTATATTAATGAATGTTCGATCAAAACAACATCAGTAGGAGTTGTAGTAATGCATTAATCATGTCATTAGTATCTACAAATGTTTTGTGCGTATAAACTTGTTGTAATCGTATGACTATGAAAAAATGGTCTATACTGATTTTCTTTATTCTAAGCAAACTACTTCATTCTTTCTTCGTTCTATATTGTAATTGAATATTCTTATTGATATAAATATAATTATGATAAAAGTATACTAAACTATAAGATTCTATTCGTCTATCCGTTAATATATATTGATTTTTTGTTTCTTATATGATTTCTATGCATATACAGCTTGATTACGTTATTTTTGATAGTTTTGTTCAGTTTGCTGTATTTAAACAAAACCTCAGGCATTTCTTATTTTGATATAGTTGGATAGAGCATCGATTACTCTATCGAACTATGTAGCTTTTATGTTATTTATTTTGCGCCTTGTTCAAAAAATTGATAAATTCCGAGAAGTCCTGGAACGTAATTTTTGCACGCTCATATGTCAGTTCGACTAAACTCATTAATGATGGAAACTGTTTTAAATAAAATAGATCCATCACACTTCCTTATGCAAAAAATATTAAACAAAACGGATTCGAAATTGAGGAGAAAACTGAATTTTATTGTTAAAATTTGATCACATTTTGCACTTATGAAAAACACGGTTATAGTGGTTTTCGTAAAAGTTCATCAGGAAAACTGACCATAAATCTAACCAAAATTATATAAATCGGTAGAGAAATTAACGTTCTATTCAGCTATATATCAACGATAAAAAGTTTATATACTTAAAAAGCCAAAACTTCTTTGAAGAAAAGTCAAAAACCATATATGAAGAAAACTTCAGAAACACATTTCTCAGAAAAGTCGTCAAAGTTTATAGTAGAGATAAAGTATAAGCCCAATGAAAAATATATAGTTCGGTAGAATAAAGAGTGATCTATTATTCTATATAAAAATAAAAAGTTTTAGCACTCCAGATAATAGTAAAAATAATTAGCTGTGAGATGATTGGAAAATTGCTGGAGGCAAAAATCGATGATGACTGCTTTTCGCAACGTATCTAATTTTGGCTAAGATTCAAAGTAAACAAAATAAAAACTATATAATCCGATGGAGTAATCGATACTCTATCCAACTATATCAAAATAAGAAATATCCGAGGTTTTGTTACAATACAGCGAACTGAACAAAACTATTCACACTAATGTGATCAA